CCCCCCCCCCCCCCTCCCCGAATATGTCGAGCTCGCGCCAAGTGCACGCTGCGCCCGCGGGCCCCGTCGATGGGCCGGCACGAGAGGCTGCAGCGCCACATCCGGGGGAACGGGATGCTGGGCTGCGGGGGGGCAGGCCGGCAGGAACGAATTTGAGGGACGGCGGAGCGTCCGGCGACCAAGCTGGACACCGGGCGCGGTCTGGTGCGCGTCCAGTCCTTCCTTGTGGGGGCCGCATGTGCGGCTGCTGTATGACTCCCCGAGGGTCGACCGATGCGGCTAACGCAGCGGCCGATGTGTGGACTTCCTGAGGCTCGGTCTGCCCGTTTCGGCCGCTCGATGTCCGGCTCCATGGTCGCCAGTCGTCACAACGCGATGGCCGACTTGTAGTAGAGCCGTCAGTTCTGTCGGTGCGTGACTGTGTTTTGTTGTCCTCACCGAGTGTGCATATAGTCAAGAGACGGATAGATACTATGTGAAAGTTCAGTTCTGGCACTCACCTGTCAACGCCTTTACAGGTGACCAATTCTGGTGCCAAATTGCTATCGCAGGGACGCAGCCTATCGAAGATGTAGATGCGCCGAGCTGGCACTATTGGATGAGCACTCACTCGTTTGTGAAATGAATCCTCATAAGCAGCGCTCCTGCGAACTCGAGCGCTTCTTGAAGTTGTCAGTAAAGCATCCGACGTCATGTCCCAGCAGGGCCAGCATTTCGAGTCTATAATTACTGCCCGCTCGCCGACTGCCCGCAAAGCAGGCTCTGCGGGTGCGTGTCCCATCACCTCCTGGGTCTAATCAGCCACACCCACGTGCCTCGGCTCCCAACTCTCCCTCGCGAAGCCGCACGTTCGCCTCCGTCCTGGAGTCTGACGGCAGAGTCATCAGAGTCGCGGCGAGCCATGGCTCACCGGCGTGTCCGCAATTAGCACTCATGTCAGAAACGCAAGCAAACAGTACCTGGAAAAGTCATCGCCGGGCTGGGCCAGCTGCAAGACCATCATCTGATTGGCGAGTTTCTCTCGTATCGTCTGGCGGCCCGACGGGCCTCTTTCCCCCGTCGGCGTCGTGCAGCAGCGGTTTCCAGCGCACGAGAATCCCCTCCTCCTAGTAGCTTGCACCGTACCCCAATTTTTTTGTTCAATGTGCGCAGTACTTAATGCTTTACCTTTACAAGTAAAGGCTTTGGAATGGATCAATCTCAGTATCACGTCCACGTGATCGTGTTTACTACGCGTTCGGCGCCTGCCGGCTGCCGTTGGGACTCGGAGAACTTGGAATTGCACAGAGATGACCACAGACATTACATACATACTCTCGTCTTTACAGAATCTCCGCGAGGAGGCTGGCGGTGCGTTCCGGCAATTCCCAGTGAGGCTGTGACAAGCACGTTAAACAGCCT